CATGTGGGTGTCGGGGACAGAGGCCATTGCACGGCACAGCCCGGAATTCCGTCGGCTTCTTGGTGCCGCCGGCGTTCATGGCCGGCCCGGGTGTGCTTGGCTGTCACCTCCGGCGGTACCTCCCACAAGCATCCATCCATCTTGCCGCCCGGCTCCTCGCCTCTGTGGGTCCTTCCTGGTGTTTGCTGCACCCCATCTAGGCTGCAGCCTGCCAGCTCCGTTGGCACAGTGACATACCGGCTATGTCAGCCTGGGCTTCCTGTCAGCACACACTGCCTGCCACGCCAGAGTCCAGGGGACACGTTAGCCGGCACGTGTCAGGATTCGGCACTCAGCTAATTGTGACTTTCGCCTCTGGAAAGACACCGTGCCACATGCCCTGCTGTCTGTGGGAAGGAGTGTCACCCAGGTTCCTGTGCCTTCTCGAGCCTCATTTCCAGCAGGGATGGTAGAATATGCTATTGACATTGTCGCTTTTCCTTTTTGGCAAAGGAGCAGTCGGTGGGTTATGGTGTATTATCTTTGACTAGCAACGGTTGTGCTAATGGGCTCCGAAACCCAGAGGTGCTGGTGGCCGTCCAGCCCAGCCAGGCGGCACCCAGCAGGGGCTGGCCGTGGGTACCAGGCCTCCATCGCAGGGGAGGTGGCTCCGGCCAACACTCACACTCAGGGAAACTGAAACGGGTCTGAGTTCACTTCTGTTTAACCAGTAAGGAAGTCCCATCAGCTGGCCACTTGGCTATGTGATGGGCGAGCCCCTCAGACGTCACATAGCCAAGTGGCCAGCTGATGGGACATGGCCCGAAGTGACATACGCCGCTCGTCTGGAGCTCAGATTTGACTCACCAGTTATTCCGGTTGTGGCCTGACTGCCCTTTTCCCCTTGCTTTCTGGTTGACTGAGGGTGTCCTGGGGCTCCTGGAAGCCGCACAGGTCTGGAGAGCTGGTTCTCGGTGTGGTGAGGGCAGCTTGCGCTCGCACACGAGTTTACGCTGAGCAGGCCAGGGACCGTGCCACGTTGCTGGGCGTGCGATGCAGTCTGACGCTGGCCATGCAGGAGCACGGTGGGTTTAGCGGTGGGCAGGCCGAGCTTCAGACTCCTTTAGCCTAGCTCAGAGCTGCACGCGCTGGCGTGCTGGGCGTTACTGGGTTTAGAGACAGCCATTCCAGCTCAGGCCATACCGGGCCTGGCTGGCAGCCCTTCCCCAGTGCACGGCAGGCCACTGGCCTCGGCCTGTGCTCAGAGCCCGGGACGAGGCTGACAGCAGGGACCTTCTCCTCCCTCCTACCTGGGAGAACTCCGCCGGGTGGACTGTGGGACCCTGCGCCCTCAGCCGCCCTCATTGCCCTGCCCCCGACCTGCTCCTGGCCCCCGACCTGCTCCCGGCCCTCCTGTGCGCTCTCAGGTGTCTCCCGGCCCTTCGTGCAGGGGTGAGGGTTGGCTGTGTCCTGCGGAGGACGTAGGTCCTTTTCCTTCAGGAGCGCCTGCCCACCCAGCCTGTTCACAGCTTTTCATGTTTTTTAGTTGGGCCCCCAGACCAGCCTGGTGAGGCTGGCGGAGCCAGTATTATTATTCCTTTTTGATGGATGAGAAGACGGACCTGGGAAGGGGAGTGGACATCTAATATCTGAGCCTTCTGCGGCGCTGCTGGGTCCGCGCCGCCCTGTGGGCTGATGTGGGCAGAGCCCTCCCCTCCTGGCAGCTGGCCCTTCCCCTGCCACTCGGCACAGGCGTGCGCTGGCTTGGCCCCCGAGCCAGCTCTGGGCTCCTGCCTGAGCCTTGAATCAGACGCAAGTGACAGGAAGGCCGGGCAGCAGGGAATTGACGGTGGCCATAACGTCCTGTTTCCAGGGGCAACGGTGGCAACAGTGCCAGCTGCATGCCTGCAGTCGCCGGCTGTCCCCACAGATGTTTCCTGAGGCTCGGTTCTGGCTGTGGTTGGACTGTGGCCAGCCTTGGTTCCTCCAGTTTTCTGAGGCTGCTTCTCCAGCCTTCCCAGAAGTTCTAAGTTACAGAACAGCCTTCCAGTAAATGGCTTCTGTGCTTCAGTTAGCTGGTATCAGCTTCAGAGGCTTGTCATTAAGGAGCCTGGCCTGCGATGGGGCTGTGACTTGTCACGGTCCAGGCCTGAGGCCTGAGCCCCGATCTGCCCAGAAACAGCCTGACGGGGACCAGCGCTTCCGAGCAGGGCCCGGGCGGGAGGCACGGATTGGGGGGAACATGTTTGTGCAGCTATATAAACAAACATAGGCGGGTTTGGCTGTGAGACTGCGCGGAGCTTCAACGTGCTAACGTGCAGGGCGAGTGTCCCCGGAGGGGCGGCACGTCCAGGCTGCTCAGTGAGCCCAGGACCCTTTCTCCAGGCGGTCTTCCAGGAACACACTTGGGAAAATGCAGTGCTGGACCCTTGGCCTAGATGGGGGACACGCGAGTATGATGCGTCTCCCTTCACGGAGACCCTGACTCATGGTTGAACTCCCCTCCCCAGTGCTTACCAGCAGCTCGGGGCAGGGACATGTCCCCAAAGCTGAGAGGGTGGCGGCAGCAGTCGACACTGGCTCCAAGAAATGAGGGCGGGCCCCAGGGGCCTGGGAGAAGGGGCAGCCGTTTGCTTTTGAAGAATGATTACACTTCGATGCTGTTGGATGAGATTTTGGGGAGGAGACCAGAGCACTGGCGCCCAAGATCGAAGGCCAAGGTCACCTGTGGCGGGCATAACTCACCCGTCCTTCCCGGATGCCAGGTCTTACACACGTTCCCATGATCCCGTGCTGACCCCGTGACTCAGGTGTCGTTTGTCCTACAGGGAAAAGCTCTGGCTCCGGGAGGTTAGGTGACTTTCTCAAAGTGACCGGCGTGGGTGGGATCCTTGCCCAGTGCTGAAGTGCCAGGGTGGGAAGATCCTCTCGGAAGCTCGGTTTCTGTCCCTCAGGCTGTGGGCGCCTGAAAGGTGGGACGTTCGGGGCGTATGATGTGTCAGAGTGTGTCTGATGTCAGGCGAACATCAGAGAAGGTTTTCCAGTGAAGTCCCATGTCCACCCCCTGGAACTGGAGAGGGGTCTGGCTCAGAGGCCTGTCGGCGTGCACAGAAAAAGGGGGTGTTGAGCAGGGCAGCTCTGGGGCCTGGGGCTTAGGCTGGGACCTTGGGGTACTGTTCACACACTGTGGGGTTTGGGGAACACTGCCTGACCTCTTGTAAATGTCCCTGTCTCCTGTGGCCTCTGGGAGTCAGTGTGGTAGGTACCAGGAGCAGGTGGGAAGGACACCTGGGGCAGGGGCCATGGGGGGTGTTGAGGCTTCACGGGCAAGCAGATGCCAGGCCACATGGTGCAGGCTGGACAGGCAGGGACAGCTGTGAGGACAGCGGTGTCAAGGCCGAGGGTCCCAACCATGCTGCATACAAGGGGCTCCCAGGGACTTGGGGCTGCTAGACTGGGGGAGGGGGGGTTGAGGGCGTGAGGGCGCCAGTGCGTGGGCCTTGAAGGGCTCAGCGGACCTTTTCTGTAGAGGGCCACATGGTAAGCGTTTCAGGGCCATGCTGTCCCTGTCACAGCCAGTCAGCTCTGCCACTGGAGCATGGAGGCAGCCACAGCCAATGTGCAAATAAGGGGCGAGGCTGGTCCTAATAAAACTTTACAGAAGCAGTTGGTGGGCGGGGTCTGGTCCCTGGGCTGCAGCCTTTTGATTGCTGTAGCCCCTCATGCAGTTAGCAGGTGACTTGTTATTCGGGGTGGGGTTGGGAGGACCCCAGGTGCGAGGAGGCCACGTGTAGGCGAGAGTTGATGGGGGTCTCCAGGAGGCCAGCGTGGAAATGAGCTGCCAATGATGCGATCCAGGTGTGTGAGGGGGCAGGTGAGGCTGGTGAGCGGGAAGGAGTGTTCCTGGGGTGCATCCTGGTGTGGGTGGGGACAGGGATGGATGGCGGTCCTTCGCTCAAATGCTCCCGATGGGAGGAATTGACCCAGGGTGACATTGCGGACGAGGTCATTTGAGGTGCCTGTAGGACAGAGAAGTAGAGACAGAGAAAGGGCGCGAGCAGCCCAGCTGTGGCCAGGAGCTCACCGGAGGGCGTGATGGGGAGGCTTCAGCTGTGTCAGATTATCTGGTGGTTGGTGGAGGTGGGACTCTGGGAAACAGTGATGTATAAGGCCCCAGAGGCAGGCGCTGCCCCGGGGGTTGTTTGCAGACGCCTGAGGAGGGGAGGGAAGGCGTGTCTGGTTCACAGAATCCATGCACCCCCACCCCTGTACTCCCCCAAGTCACAGTGATTGTGATAAAATAGCAATTTGCCTCCCGCCCTATTACTGGCGTCTCATTGCTCTTAGCACATCTATTCTTTTAAGCCTTTGCTATGTTGACCAAAATTAATACCTATCAAAATTAACATCACAGGAGAGTTTTTATGCATCTGTACATTTCTTTAAATGTAAGTAACACCCATGCTTTCCAAAGCGTGAGAGCTTTTTTCTAACATTGGCGTGCTGCTCTGACCACCTCACAGGTGCCACGGGGTGGGTGAGTGCTGGGTCGACTCTCCGTTTCTGTAATTCTTTTCCCACAGGCTTTCTTGTTAAATATACTTTATTCAAAATGCCATGTTTTCCCTTCAGTTTTTATGAAGGAGAAACTTGCCTGTGATTGTTGTATTGTTATATTGAAGCGAGGGTCGCTTAGTTTCAGGTCCTAAGTAAAAGGCGCTCCTCTTCAGCTCTCGGCGCGTTGATTCCAGACGCACGAGAAGGAGAGGGAGACTAACTCCAGGGCGGAAGGGCAGCGTGTGCTCACTGGTTTCTGCTCTAGGCAGTTGTGGTCATTTTCTGTCCTCAAAGTGACTATGTTGGAAAAATGACACAGTGTATGGTCACATTCCCCAAATGGGGAAAACTTTGGAAGATGTTTTATGTTTTAAATAACTGGTCGTCTGCTTACTGGTCACTTTAAAAGTGGCCCAGCTCTTTCAGGTACGCTTCCTTACCTGCTCCAAACATTTTTCCTGCAGGTACTTGGGAGAATGGCGAAGACCTGTGAAATGACCTACAAAATGGTGGCCAGCCCTTTGGGCGAGCTGGAGCTGTCTGGCTGTCGGCTGGGTCTGCACGGGATCAGGCTGCTCGAAAGGAAGACCCCGGACGCCGGGTGAGTCCTGAGTGACACCCTGCCTGCAGGGGCGCGTCACAGCCATGGGAGGCAGTGATACGGTTGCTGCTGTTTTCCACTGATCACGGGTGACACGTAGCCGTACGCTACCGAGCACAGAAATCAGTATCTCAGAACGAATGATAGCACCGTGAGTGTCCTTCATTGTCAGCAGCTGTGCTTGTTGCCTGAGAATTTCCCACCTCCAGGTAACCCCAGGGGCATGCCCTTGAATTAGCAGCTCCGAGGCGTTTGATTACTGTGTACATTTACAGAGGAGTTGGTGGAATATGACCATTGGACACTGGTCCTTCAACACATGTGAGGTGGGGATCTCTGTAGAAATTTGGTGACAGAGACGCTGCCTCATCTTGGTTTTTAAATCAGGCCCAGCCCTCCCTGTTCAGTCTGCCGGGGGTTTGATACTAAAGCCTTGGAGTTGCCTAATCAGACGTTCCCTGGCCTCTCAGCTGCCCTCAGATGTTGCGTGCAGCTGGGGAGAGAAGGGTATGGAGTCCCTTTTTTAGCATGACGTCAGGGTACGGCCATTTCCAGCAGGACACATGCTCTCGCTTTTGTGAACGCTCTCCACTGTATTGCTCTCATTGGAAAAGCATAAAAAATTTAAAGGGCTCCTTAATGTTTTGTTCTGAAATGTAACGTTTAATTTCCCCCACTCATTGATTGGGAGGAGTTGTGTTAAAATCGCAGCTCTTGTGATTTCTGACAGAAGAAAACCACCACCTGCTCCTGAGCTCTGTTTGTCTTAACCGGCTAATAAACACAATGCCAAGAACATTAGATAAAGAAAATACATAAGAAACATAAAAATTGATTTTAATGGACCCCTGTCAGAGGCAGCCATAATGAGCACAAGTGCTGTAATAAATACCAGTTTTCGCCTCCACTGTTGAGAATTTTCCTGTAGAGCTGCATGTTACAATCAATAGTCTTTCCTAAGACAAAAAATAAGCAAACCTTTGAACGATGCGAAGACACTCTAGTTCTGTGAGAGCCGCCTGGCTGTGGTGTCCAGAAAATCGCAGGCACCAAGTAATTTGTCAGGGAAAATGTCATTTTGTCTTGCAGCGTGTTTGGTTGGTCAATAAATCTTAGAAATTATACGTTGAATTTCTTTGGGTTTGAAAACCACTCCTTAAAGTGAATTTGGGAAAGAAGAAGTAAAAAGAAAAAAAAGCATTCTAAGAGATGTTGAGTTAAATCCCCATTTTGGACGTGAGACTAGAATGAAGGTGAGGCTTCAACTGGAGTTTCTGCTTTGTACACTTTGACTCGAGTTCACATCAGCTTCAGCTGGGAGGCGCAGCCTCAAATACTGGCTTCAATAAGCTGCAGCTGACCTCTCAGGTGGGCTGGTGGCGGGATGGCCGCTGGGACGTGGGCCGCTTTCCAGCTTTCCTCGCTGCGTCTCCAGGCTGTGGTCCTCGTCCGGCTCTTCAGGCCGGCCCCTGGGGACCAGGCCGCTGCCTCCCATTCAGGCCGCAGGTAGAGGAGAAAGGAAGGGGAGGGGCCAACCCCTGCCTCTCCAGCAGTCACAGCTGTTTTCTTTTGTCTCATTGGCTAGAACTCGGTCACATGGCCACACCTGTCTGGAAGGCACACTGGGTCGCCAATTATTGGCGAAAATTAAGGTTTCTGTGTGTCAGGAAGAACTGGGAAATGGATGTTGGGGGCCACCCCGCAGTCTGTTATGTGTGTACACACACGCACACACACATGCACACACACGGTTAATTTGGGGGAGGGACAGGTAAAAGTCAGATAGGAAATCTTGACGTTGGTGACTGCAATTTGTTTCTTCCTTTCTGCTCGCTCTGCCTTTATTTCTCCATTTTATCGCGCTGCCCAGAGCCTCCCGTGTGGTGTGGAATAAGCCATGGTGGTTCACCTCCTTCCCCTGTCCCAGCATTTCACCAGCGTGCCATCACCTCTGCTGGGTGTCAGGTGTCCTTTCTCAGGCTGAGAGTGCCTCCTCCACCAACTGTTGGCATTTGTCCATGTGTCAACACAATCATATTTTTCTCTTTTTTTAAAATGTGAAGTCAATTTTGAAATGCTGGACGATGTCAATTTATGATATAATGTTCTTTCCCCCCCCCCCATATTACTGGTTTGGACTTGCTATTTTGTTTAGGATTTAAGTGTTTAAGCTCATGAGGGCTGTTAGTCTATGATTTTCTTCGTTTGTAATATCTTTGTCATGTTTTGGCATTCGGGCTACTCATACAGGAAGTAGCGTTCCCTCTTTTCTCTTTTGATAGAGTAATAGGTGGGATTAATATGACTTTTCCCCCAAGCTGAGGATAGAGTCACTTTGGACGCCATCTGGGTCTGGTGTGCTTTGTATAGACAGGCCTCTGGTTAGAACTCCGTTAGCCACATAGAATTAGGTGCTGCCCGGCCCAACTGGAGGGGAGCAACCCACCCCGACTTGGCTTGTGCAGGGAGAGCCATCTGTGTCCCCCAAGCCGTGTCCTCTAGCTCTGCTTATGTGTGGTGAGCGGGTGGGAGGATTTGGGCAGAGCATCCTAATAGGTCTGGGCCGCTGTTTGCACCCCGCTTCTCTCGGTTCTCCGGATTCCTGGGTGTTGATGTGCTCTGAAGCTGTACCACTTCCTCGGTAGACAAGTTGGAAGGTGGCCACTGACGTCTGTCTGCAGTGTGGCCCCTGCCCCCACCTCAGCCCGTTTGCCTGTGTATGTGGCTTCAGACCCTGATCATTGAATTGCCGTTTGTATAGCTTACCTTAGTCACCTTTCCTTCCCTGAAAGTATTTGAGTGAAGGATATCAGTTTGGAAAGTGGCGTAATAGTCTGAATTTTATCATGTCCTGGTGCCATTAACAACGGTCATCTTCCAGAGCAGCTGGCGGCGTGCACGAGCTGGACTGGTTTCCCCCGACTGCACTCGTGGGGCTACCAAGCCCCAACCTCAGCATGGTTCCCGCAATGTCTAAACGCTAATGAGAAGGGTCGTAGAACGTTTATTTTTCTAATGTTATTTTGGGACTTGTTTAGTATTTGATTACTTGAAAAATTGGACTGTACAACCTTGGGTCATACTTAACGTTACAGAAATAGCAGGAGGATTTTGGGATCTGGGATGCAGGGGAGAACGGCACGTGCTGCGTCTTTATCAAAGATTTACCTTTGTTTTTCGTTTACTTTTTCCATGTAAACCTTCTTAGAAAAGCACAGGAATGCAATACTGAAAAAGCTTACATGCATCAGCCAAACTAAACCATCATGAACCTTTCTGTGTTTTGAAAACCTTAAAGTCACATGTAGGCTGTTGTCTACTGTGCAGGAACATACGGTGTCCTAACAATGGTGGCTCACGTACAGTGTGGGCGTTTCTGCCTCCTGGCGTCGTGCCCCCCAGCTCTGGGGTCACGGTGGGAGCAGAACCCGAGGACTTGGGTGGCTGGACAGGGCCTCCATCACCAGTTGGACTGGACCCGCTGGGACACGAGAGAGTGTTACTGCGGGGCCGCGGGGCCAGAACTGGGAGAGGGGGCATCCGCCTCATTGGCTGCACTGTCGGTTTTCGCCCTTCAAATGTCCAAAGTAGTCGCCCCATTGAAAGAGTGAAGATATCTTTGAGGTCCTCCTGATGGGAGGGGGGACTCGGGAAGTCATGTCAGGTCCATTGGGCCTATGAGTGTGACCGGGTAGGGACTGATGGTTTCCACGTGCATTTGCTTCTTTCCTGGTAATCCTGAAATATTTTAGATCAGTGGGCCGTCAGGGGAACAGGAGGGTGTCCGGGGGCTGTGCCTGCTGCGTGCCAGGACCTCTGTGCAGGTCGGTCTGACGATTGCCGATTCCAGGTAGTTCCTCAGGAACTGCGTGTCACAGAAACCTCCCCGGGAAGCTCACAGATGAATGCCTTCTGGCAGATTGGGACATTTTAATACAGATACTTGCAGCACTTACTTTATTATAATTGATCTTTCAAGGAAGAGAAGAAAGTGTTAAGTCTAAACACTTGAAGAAGCGTTCTCCCCGTCAAAACAACGTCCAAAAACACACGCTCCGCAGGGTTTTTACCTGCAGCGAGTTTAGCTGTCGCATTGCTTTTCTTCAGCGGCTCGAAATAATGATTTGTGTTGTATGCTCTTAAACAGTGTAATTATTTTATTTTTCAGAGTGTTCCTTAAGGACGTCTCTTGAGTCAAATCAGCATGTCTGTGAGGAAAGCTTACCAAGCGCTCTCTGGCTTTTATAGGAATTGTCTGTGTTTTGAAACAAGTGCTCGGATGCCCTGGTGAGCTTGGCGTGCTTTGCTCCTGCCTCCTGTCTGCTCCCTGAGTCCGGATCCGCGAGGCTGGTCTGGTAGACGACCTCACCTGCCCGTCTCTGCGTTGGGAGTGAATTGTCAATAGTGCACAGGGAGCTGTCTCAGGGCCCAGTTATCAGTAACACGAATTGTGTGCATACTTCCCTCTAAACACTTGCAGTGCAGTGTCCTTTAAAAGCGGGACGGTGGCCTGGTCTTTCAGGTTTGTGGCTGAAGGGGACACAGGAAGCCAGGATGTTTCTCGTGACGGTTCTCATATTCCCATGGTGGGCAAGGTCCGGGGGGCTGGGAGGCTGCGTGTGGGGCCTGCCCAGTCGTGTGCGCAAGCATCTTAAGGTCACAGCCCTTGGACTTGAGTAAAATAAAGGAAAGCCATGTGATGTGCTGTCACGTCATCTCGGGGTGTGATGCTGTGGCCTCCGCAGTGAGCCTTCTGAGCCCTTAATAAAGTGGGGTGTCTGTGCCCACGTTGTGCAGACAGCGGCCCTGAAAAGCCCCATCTCAGTTTGATTGGCAGTTTGGGCCTCCCTCGCAGGGTACCCCCATGGAAGCCCAAAAGGTGGGGAGCCGCGCTTTATTGGGAGGCTGTAAGGTTTCTGACTTAGAAGGTATCAGCAGTGCATGGTGTCACTAGCTTCTGTTCTCTGCTCTGGACGTTTAAGTTCCTCCGAGAGCCTCGC